TGGGAGCTATATTTTGTTTGAATGTAACAGTGTAAGCATAATGAAGAAAGATATCTGCCAAAGTATTATTTAAACCACTTATCTATGTATAAATTAATTTTGTTAATACAATCAGATACGCATAAAGTTATTTGTAAACTCGCTGCCTTTTTGAGGAATGTCCTTCCTTTGTTTAAGTAACATTTGTCGTACTTTAGCCTCGCCATCATTTTGTTACTACTCTATGTTCTAAATATATAAAACAAATCCATAAGTCCACTAAAAGTGCTTGTTTTTGCCACTGACAGGCTCACATTGTTATTCTGACATTATGGAAAGGGTCCCTACAGAAGATTGACCTTTTATTAAATCAGAAACCGCTGTATTATCACTATTGCTCACCAGACTCCATCGACACTGTAATTTTACAGTGTAACTGTAATTTTACCTTGCATTTCATTGTAACATCTTAACTTAATTCAAAGTGGACAGAAACAAGTTAAAACCTGCCTGAACAGTTTTTGTTGGTCTTTGTCTGGTTGGAATAAATTGTCAATTCACTGACGTAGAAGAGAAATAAAGACAGTTTCAGTGGCTCTCCTCAGTTGGAAACAGAGGGACTTGCACTAACATTGCCGGCCATATGGAGCTCACTGCAGACCGAATGCTGGTATGTTTGTTACAATACAATGTGCTGTCTGAAAAGTGGTCTGAGATGCTGGGGGAACTTTACGATTTCCCAGAAGAGCCGTTCTCAAGTGATTAAACCTCTTCCGGCCTCTAACAGTGTATTTACAAGAAGCATTTTATCGGAAACCTCCAATGAATCCAGACCCACAGAGTTACACCACCTCACTGGTTAGAAAATCACATCATTCTCACACGTCTTCAGTTAACATATTGTTCATCAGGTTTACTGTGGGGAAGATAACAGTGCAGGTGGTGGGGGCACGTAGCATTGTTGCGCCCACAATGTAACTTCACTGTGGTTCTGATCGGTCTGAAGATAAGGCCGAGAGGCACCAACCCCACAAGCAAAGCTATGTTGCCATCATCATCCAGGACATAAGGCGTCATGAGTTCTCTACACCCACGGCTGACTCATATTGCATGAAAGGCTGCTGCCTGCGCCTTCCTCGCATCTTTTACCTCAGCTAAGACCGAGTTTAGTTTTAGTTTAGTTTACAGCTGGGTTGCAGAATGTTTTTTGAGTAAATACAAGATTGAAATGCTGTTACTATGGCCCTCTCTTAAGTCAGAGAAAACAGCATGATTAGCTGTTGTCAGTGTTAAAAAAATACACTTTCCTCTAATCTGTAGTGCTGTTTATCCATCTATCTAGACTGTTTTGGTGTAAGTTGCCAAGTTTAGGAGATCTTCTCTCTAGCATAATGGAACCAGATGGCACTGGGCTTGTGGTGCTTAAAGCGGTAAAAAAAATACATTTGAATCAACTCTTTACAGAAATCCTGATCTGGTCATTTAAAATAATCCTCAGACCTTGTTGTGAGCAGTTTCATGTGGGAACTATTTTCTTTCTGCGTATTTCTAACGTGGACCTTTAAAGCAATAGTTCAACATTTTGGGAGATTCTTCAGGAGAAATGCTCCAAGTGAGGGGAAAGAAAGAGCAGGGGAATTGTTTTTCTTTCACTGCTTCTATAACCATGTAGCTGTGTTTTTTTCTAACATGCTTACGTTCCTATTTTTTGTCTGAGCAATGAACCAGAATTACTAAAATAATCTCTCCCAGCTCTTTGCTGGGAATAAATGGGAACAGAGGAAGTGCTTTTTGGCAAAAGAATATAGAAACAGTATACAAAGATGAAAAGATCTGATGCAGCTCTGCTTGATTCATATTGAATTCAAAACTGAAAACAGTCTCTTTGTTCAATTGATATCGTGGTTTCATGGAAAACCTGCAAGATCGATGGGCAGGTGTTGAGTCCAAATTGTGCCACCAGAATACATTTAAAATTTTGTTGTTCTACTTATCTGTCTTCATTAGTTATTTAAACACCTATTTTTCAGGGGGCACATGCGCTTAATTAAAGGCAGTTGTCTTTAAATCTGCTAGAATCAAATATTTTTACATTAACAACAGGTCAGATGACGTTGTGTAATTATTTTGGTTTTACACCACGTAATTTAAGTGTTCAGTCTCATTAGTATATTTTCCAGACACAACAGGCAGCTGCTTTCAGGGCTTTGATAAACCCACTGTACTGTACGCTACCTGCTCACACCAAACAGCGCACAAAGGTAGCATTTAGCATTAGGCATGTCCCGATCAAGTTTTGTTTCACCCCCGATCCGGTAAGAGTTATTTAATAATGAGTATCTGCCAATGCAGAGTCCTGATCCAATACTTATACAGTGCCCCGAGCCCACTTTAAGTACATTTAAGTTATTAAAATCAATCTAATGTAATTGTTTGACAATTGAATACATCTGCATTGCATTAAGAAAGAAATTGCATCCAAGCTGTTTTTTTAATTTTTTACAAAATATAAAATAGCCAAACAAACCCTCTCAGTTTTTGTCTTGTTGTTACCTGAATGAATTGTATTCTGTTGAGTGTTTATTTGCATCTTCTGTACATCTTTTGCATGGATTACATTAATAAATTACTCTCACTGGCTATTTGTTGTCGACTCTGCACCGCACCTGCTGTTTGCCCCAGCAGCTCAGAGGAGTGGAGGAGAGACAGACAGTGGAGAGTAGGAGAATTGACTACAGTGTTCCTGTGAGTGAAAACACCTGTCTGACAGCTGACATAAAAGAAAGGATTGGATCGTACTTAATATAGCTCAGTGTAGCCGATACCAATCAGTTAAAAAATGACTTGATCGCCCCAATACGATCTTTGAGATTAGATCAGACATGCCTATTTAACAGCCAAAGTGCCATATGTTTCCCTTGAGAGTTGGCAAAGACCCAAACAGAGCTGAAAGGGGAGTGTACCCTGATGATGTCATCATGGGTATTTTTCAGACATTATAAAGCTCTTTTCAGAACCACATTATACATCCTGCCTGTGTACTAACTGTGAAGTGGCAACTGGAGCGTATATACATTGTTTTGGGGAATGTTCTCAAATGGCTAAGTTCTGGTCATGTGTAGCAAAGGAGTTAAGTACAATTCTGAAATGTAATATCTGTAAATAACATGCAATTTTCTCAATTCACTCAAGTGTGAATCAGTGAACAGTGTGTCCATGTGTGTAAAATGTATCTTTTCAATATTCATCCATTTATTGTTTTCTCAAGCGCAGGTCTGTACAAAAAGTTTATAAAAAATAAAGTGAAAAATAATACAATTTCATTATTTAAAAAATCAACCACAACCACCTTATGGAGTGACCCATTAAAATTGACCAGTGTGGTGGCACTCTCTGGCCTCCGTAGGCTGCAAGCTGTAAAAAAATGCATTTTTAAAGGATATGTTTGACATTAAGGCTGCTCATGTGAATTGCTTTTTTTATTGCAGGATTTATATTCACACGCCCACTACCACACTAGATGGCATGTTTTTATAAAATGAAAGGGCAGCAAAGGGAATTTCGCAGACAGTTAAGCAGAGCACCACTTCATTATAACTCCAGTTATTTTAAATTTATAATCAGATATTTTGATATTTGTCACCAGTCAGTTTTATCTATTGTGTGTATGAGGAACATACTGTACAGCAGTTTTAATGGTGTGAAACTGCTTTAGCCTCTTGCTCTGAAACTCATATACTGCATGGAGAGAGAAGATGTTATCACACACTTTGTCTTTGATGAATAGGTATGCTGATCTTTTACCAGAACCCAAGCATTTCAGGTCATACATTTTTTTGACCTACATTGTTTGGCGTGGGATGGCAGCGTACAGATGTTGTTACTAGTGATGTGTTGAGACAGTTCTGAATGATGAGATGATCTCCTAATGAGCTAATGTAACAATGATGCCAATAGTTTGTCATTCTTTACTGTTGTTATTCTGCTTTTAGAAATGGGTTCCTCTTGCAGGCTGATTTTAAACTGAGATCAGACAAATCTACACAGAATTGTTTCTTTTACTTGGATTTGGGTTGATAAAAAATCCCTCTGGTTTGGTTTTTAGCAGAATATTTTTCAGTTTTCACATCAGTGCTTTTTCTTTCTGTGCAAAAACATATTTTTTTGCCACAAAAGTAGGAAGTGGTATACTGTTTTCACAGTCACAAGAAAAAAGCCTATAGGTGAATGCACATTTTCACACCTTTTGACAGTTTAGACACATGAAGGTGTCACCTGACTCATCAGATTTTGAAATGAATTATTGCTTTTTACATGTTGATTTAATAATAAGGTCATAACAGGGTCAAGTGAAAAGTTCAGCTTTAAGACAACATCAAAAAGAAAGTGCAAAGATCAGCATGAATATTGTAATTTTTTATTTGAGTTAAGACTCAGGGAGGGCAAAAGTACACACATCCTTTTCTCAAGTAGGTAAATAAGTTACGCAGGTAGTGTAAAAAAAATATCTGGTAAAAGTAGAAGTTCTGATTCAACTTCTTTACTCAACTAAAAGTGAAAATGTACAGGATCTGAAATGTACTGAAAATATAAAAGTAAAACGTACTCTCTTGGTTTCTCTGAAGGACATTTCTACCGGCTGTTTCTGTGCAAAGTTAACTGAAACTTCTAACAGGGTAAAGGCTCACTCTCTTCTCTTTCACATCTTTTATGTTGTTTCTGCCGTTTTATGTCTGTCATGTGTGACATGCACCGGAAAGTGTGCAGTGATGCAAAATAAAGATAAAAAAAAGTATTACTCAAAGTACAGATACTTGAAAAAACTACCTAAGTATTTGTACTTAATTACATTCCTCTGCTAAGAATGCCTTTTTTAGATCATTTTCTTCTCTGTATGTTTGAAGTGTATATACTGTAATGATGCAGATGTAAATGGACCCAGACAAGCAAACAGTGTGTTTAAAGATGTATCTTTAAAATCACTGACAGTCATAACGGAAATACACTACAGATCTCGCCAGCGTGCACAAACGCAGTCAGCCTGCATATAAACACAGAGAGAATGTAGACGCACCAAGAGAGCAGAGCAGCGCTTCACAACTAAAGTCTGGGCTCTGCAGGCAGGACGACACAGTCATGAAGCCGGTGAGTGGGGCCACTGTGCTCATCTTTCACTCTTATCATGAGTTTATTTCCCAAAGGGTGCCTTAAATGTTTATATGACTTAATGAGGCATGTGCTGATTTTATGAAACATTTGTGTACCGTTTGACTTTTGACTCCAAATTTCATGCTGTGGGTCTTAAAATTGGTGAGCAAATGAAAGTGAGACTTTTTTTGTCATTAATACGGTTTTCAGAGTGTGAATGTTCATCATTGATACCACCCACACGTTCACACGTTCATTTCAGATTTCAGATTTTAGAAACAGAACAAAACAGCAGTACAAAGGTAAACACACTGAGTCATTTAAAGAAAGGCAGAGCCTTATTAAAATAATAATATTTACTTTTATATTTATTTATTACATTATTACAATAGATTTATTATTTACACACATTATTGTTTTGATAGATGTCTGGAAGGGATCTTTAAACATAGACACATGGTTATGCAGGTACTTTTCTATTCTCAATAATACTTACTTATTCATTCCTCAAGCAGTTGCCATTACATAAATTACAAAGCCTTTTATACCTCTCCAGGCATTCGTATCTTGCTGCTATTTCACAAACAAGAACTGGCTACAGATATAAAAAGATGCAATTTTTTTCTGACGGTTTGCTCTTCTCTCTATCCTCTTCTGGATTTCTCTTTAGCTGCTGTTTGCTTTAATTGCCTCTGGCCTGCCTGGCGTTCTCATGTTTAGGTGTTGAGAGCTTTGCTAGTTCTGGGCCTGGCCACACTGTTGCACACCACCAGGACAGACCAGAAGGTCTCTGTGAAGTTGTGGCGTAGAACCAAACTGAAGGGCAGCATAGGGAGACTGGTCCTGGATCCCTCAGTGCAGCCTCAGATTGGCATCACGTCGGCCTCGACCATCGCCAACATGTCTCTGTCACCATGGACGTACAGGTAAGGCATCGCTGAAGTCAGAAGGCCCTTAAAGCCTTTTTCAAACCAGTGTGACGGGTTTGGTCAGTTTCGTAATTTTAAAGCCTGGAATCCCAGTTATGAATGCATTTGTTTTTCCTCCCTCTCCAGAGAATCCTGCATAGCATCTCGGTTGCCTAGGCATATATCCCATGCTCAGTGCCTGACCTCCGGCTGTTTGAGCTTGCAGGGGGAAGGGGAGGACACAGGCTTGGTGGCTAAACCTATCTACTACCAGGTCCTAGTCCTCCACAGGTGAGCCACTGCCACTGTCTTCTAAAAGCAGCTAATGAAGCAGTTTTTGTTTCTGCTTGAAGTTTAAGTTCTACAGTCTTTGGTCAACCTAACAATGGAAGTGAAAAGTAATTTAGAGAGCATTTATCTCTCTTAATCTGTTGTATTTCCTGTTGAATCAAGCTGCCCGGGTGGGACTCAAGTGGAAACCAACCATATTACATCTAAAAAAAATAAATTAATGGTAGAGGCACATTTTTGTTTTAAAGATTTGTTTGTATCTCTGGACCTTTATATATATACCTACCAGTACAACGTGAGGTGTAGATTTACTGTTTTCAAGGAGCTGAATAGGATTTTGACAGTACAAGAATAGATCTTCATTCAACTTCATTTTTACATTTATTAATGAAACATGGGGTGCATTGTTAATACTCAGATTGAAAAAGTCACTTTATTGTGGTTTGAGGAAGTGGGAAAACCAAAAGTAATCTGATGTTCATTATTTAGTGTCAGACACTGAGGTTAGGCTCTGCACAGACTTGGTATGCATGACAAAAACACTTCAAACACTTGGAAATGTTTGTGTCAGAGGCAGTGGTGGCAGTTTTCTTTCTGCCTGACTAACAGATACTGTATGAAGGATTTGGTGCTTAGAATAGAATAGAATAGAATAAACGGTTTGTTGCTTCACAAAAACAAGCATACCTCAACAACAGACACAGATAAAAAAACAATAAAAAAAAACAATTACAGAATCAACATAAAAACATCTTAAAACATGGAAGACACTACATTTTAACACTGACAATGTGGCAGCTTAAAAAGAGACTGTAAGAAACTATAAGAATTAAAGTGCTACGGTGCTGGTTTGTTTATTACACACTGCCCTATTGCACATGATTTAGTATTGGAGTTCAGCAGCTTGATAGAAGTCGGGACGAACGATAACTTCAGTCTGTTTTATTGTATTACTGTATTAAACTGAATGGAACCAAACCAAATTGAATTAGATTGACTTCTGCTTGTGTCTTCCCTGTCCATTCTTGTCAGATCCACTACAGTCCAAATTGATTTTATTTAAAACTATGATCTTATAATGACATCATCTATGTAGGTTTAACCCTCACTAATTTCCCCATCCCACTCCAGAGTCCCAAGGCAAAGGCACAACAACAGCAGAGGGGGGAAACCAAGGAAAAAGTATGACTTCAAACTGGGGACGGAGGTGATCACAGTGGGCTGTACCTGTGTGAGGCCTGCTGTCGTAACCCATCTGTAACACACAGGAGACTTGTGGTGTTAGCAACTCTTTCAGTATACTGTAGGCCAGAGAAACCCCAACCCCCCTTGCTTAGTTTTGCTCAATTCCTGGATGTCTATGATATAACGATTATGTTATTTGATCCCGTAGATACTCAACAATTGAGCCAAGATAGTCTAATTTTGCTGTTTGACATAACTTCAGACTACACCAAATACTTAAAAAATTTCTGTCCTACAATATTAATTAGTTTCTGACTCTGGGAAAGTGGAAAAAAACTTCATAACTACTCTCTCTCTTTAACCAGATCATACACATTTGGGCAATTATGTGATCTCCATTTGATAACTACTGTTATATTATTATTATTATTCAATTCCATTCACTGAGCCTCCCTTGAAACAATTTGGAGCCCCCCCTGGGGAGACAGATACTCTATGAAGAAATTCTCTGACTCATTCTAGTGCTTCTAATGGCATTTGCAAGAATCCACCGGGCCTGAATGGAAACAACAAATCAGAGCCAAGAAAGATAGTTGACTGCTGTGTCTCATTCCCAGGCTGGTAAATACAGGTGCTTTGAGACCTTGGGACTGAGACTCAACAGTCAACTATCTTCAAGCCTCCAATCCAAAGTGTCTTTCTATCTTGCTTGGGTCTGATTGGTTGTTTTGTTGAAGCCCATTGGATTATTGCAAACGTCATTAGAAACGCTACAGGATAATACTTTATTTTTATTTACTTTTATTGCTAATATGAAAGGGCATTTGTTTTGACTGTTTTGTTTAATTAGCATGTCTCCACTTGATAGCATATTAGCCATTAGCCTGCCAGCAACAGTAGTTGCCAGCAGGTATTTCATGAAGTTGTGCAAATTAATAAAATATTAACAAGTTGATGTTGTAACACTGATAGTAACAAAGAGGTGCATTTCTTTCTGCCCCCTAGTGGTGAAAACCTGCCTAATATGGTTTTAACCCAGAGATAAAAGAACAGTTGACAGTATAATTTTTATTTTTGTTGTTTTTAGCTTATATTATTGTTTTATTGTATTATTTTATTCCATTTTTTATTATTTTCAATTGCCTGATTTGTTGCAAATGTTTTCTCAGGATAGGAGTCTTAAAAGGGATGTTGTTCAAAATATATTTGCATATGGTAATATAAATTTTTGGGGTGTCTGTATGTTTCATGGTTGTTTTGAACTCATATCTGATAATAACCCTGTTCTTATTTTATTGTAAACAATATCAACATGCTTTATTAAAGTTTTTATCCCAACTTTGATGTCTAATTGTGCTGTAAAACACTATTTAGAATAGATCTAATTAGCAACAAATAGAACTGAAAAACTGAATCTTGTTGGGACAAAGCTTTTTTTTATGGTCTAATTTGCTGATTCTTAAACTATCATATGTGTACCAATGGTGGTAAGGGAGCTGCTTCCAGATGTAAAAAACATGTTTATATTAATATATTAATTAAAAACATATAATACTGGCCAAATACTACAACATTTCGATTGAAAATACTATGAAATCACTAAAATATAATAATTTGTCAGCCTGCTATGTGGTGATGTTCATGCATGTAGCATGCGTCCATATGTCCACGATTCGTTACGAGCTAAAATGTATTTAGTTAAATTAAAAAAGATATTAAAAGATATTCATGATGGGAAATGTACACGCAATGACTAATATATCTGATACTAACTCGTTTTCTTTTTGTAAAAGTTAACACTATATATTAACATGTTTAAATCATGCTAATACATATTTATGTCATGTTTTATGGTCTAATTAAGTTTCATGGATGTGACTGACTGAACATAGAAAAATAATCTCATATAGGGAGCTAGTGGAACTAAAGGCTTTGTGTGTGTGTATACAAGTGCAAGAAAAATATTTTACTAAAAAATTATGAGAACAAGAGGAAAGTGTGAGTTCAGTCAAGCTGTTTTTACTGACCATGCCAAATAGATACAATCAATCCAGCCTTGAAGATATACACAACACACAGTTACAGCGAGTACAAACCCCATGTCATGTCATGACTCCCCCGCTACAGTGCAAACATTTTAGACATTTCAATCAAGTCAGTATGACTCAACAACTCGAGCAATTTTCATCGTTCTGTTTACTCTTTTAGGTTTAAATTTCCCTTGAAAATCATAAACTGACAATCAGAGCACAGTGACACATGCCAAAGCAAAGGGAGACTGCTGCTTAGCCACAAAACCTCAAACTCATCCTTTCAAAACCAAAAAGGTCAAAATTCTGAACTAGCCACTCACCACTGCGTCCTTGTGATGTTATTGTTGTTTATGCTGTATATATTCCTCGTCCTTCATGTATGCATATGTGCTTTTGAGTTGTGCTTAATGAAACAAGAGTGCAATCAGTGCTCTAAATCTAAGAGACTCAAATGCATGTCACTGATCTACAACTACACTACAGTTAAAGTTTCACAAACAGCCTGAAAGTGGCAGAATACAGCAGAGCGTCATCCCTGTTTAACCTTTTTTCTGTTTTACTCCCCTGCCTAGAGCACAGTAGAAACAAAAGCTTCATTTTATATTCATAAACCATAGTTTAGCACACGCAGACGTCCCCAGATAGGCCCGAACGATCCCAAAAATGGCGCAGTGAAGAATTACCATGAGAGCGGTGGAGCTAGGGAAATCAATTTTTATTCTTAACTCGGAAACAGCAGAAGCTTGTGTTTTACGTTCTGTTTATGTGTATTAACTGGTAATAATCCTGTAAATCAGAGACTGGAGACGACTCTTAGCTTTGATTTGTACTAAATGTGACTACATCTTTGTTTTTTTCAAGCACATCACATCTTTTTTTCATGTTTCATGAGGTAAAAATTTATATTACAACTCCCTACTCCATAGTTACAGCTTAATATGAAAGAAACAGTGTAATTGGCTGTGTTTCTGCCAAATTGGTAGCATTCAGTGACACTTGCTGATACAACCAACAGCATAAAAGCACAGCTCAGTTAACGCTGCTCAAATATCATGCAGGCAGTTATAATTTCCTGCTTTCTGGCTGAAGAAACTGCAGAAATGAGAGAGCTGTGATTTAGCTTTGTACCTCCTTCTGCCTTGATGCAGTGTTCATTGCTCGCCTAACCACCACTGCAGACCCTCTTTAAAAAAATGTAATTGTTTGTTTTGATGCCACCCCACCCCCCTGCCCACTTTCCTTTAGAAAAAAGAGAAAGATTTCTCTTTGAATTTCAACATCAAGAGTTGGCTAAACTTTTTACAGCTTGTTCAGAATCGTTACAGCATACATCAAATATGAAAACTCGCCTTTTCCCTTTTGTTCGAGTTGTTTTTAAGTTCTTTTTTTTCTTTCCTGCACTGTTTTCATTTCCATTTTTTATTTTTATACTGACTCAAAAAACTCCCAGTCCTGCTCTTTCTCTCTCTTTGTCCCCGGCTCCACTCATCTACCGGCAGGCTTCCTCCTTCATCTCCTTGTTCTTCCTCACTTCTTCCGCGTGTTTGTCCTGCCAGACAAACACAGAGACACAGCAACATCGGAGTCATTAGCATTCATGAATGCATTAGCATTAATGCGGGAGATGCCCACAGAACAAGGCAACAGCTCAGCAACCGTTCATAAAGATCTGAACAGGGGAATCATACAGTGGGGACAACTAAAAACTCTTTTCCACCTCATGCATTATTCATGATTACTGATGCTTGTGAACAATGCTAAAATAGAAATGCAAGCCTAGTTTATGATACTGAAAGCTGGCCTCATTTGCACTCAAGAAAACATAACAATTCAGGTCTCAATAAAACAGTGCTGGTTAAAGGAAAAGTTTGACATTTTGGAGAATATGCTCATTCTCTTTCTTGCTGAGTTAGATGTGATCAATACCACTCTCGTGTCTGTATGGTAAATGTGTAGCTGGAGCTGTAAAAATGACTATTTCCTGCCTGGCACAAAGTTGCTGGTTGCTTGGCAACTGGTTCTGCCATAAGAAATAGTACAAACATGAAATTTAGCAAATTGGCATTTTTACACTTTTTGTGTTTTATTCTACAGATTGGACAATGAGGCATAACTAATTATTCAGCATTAGAAGTGCTGGTAGTTGGGTTTTTTTCAATCCTTTGGACAGAGCCGGGCTAGTGTCTCTGTGTCCAGTCTTTATGCTAAGCTATGTTAGCTTTCTGGTGGCATTATGAACAGTGGTACCAATCTTCTCATCTTTAGTCTTAGTAAGAGGGCCAAAAAGTGCATTCAGACCTGGATCCTCTTACAAGCTCTCTACAAAGGTTAGAAATAATTCATCAACTGGCCAGTACCTTCTCCTGCAGCCTCTCCAGCATGGCAGCCAGCAGGGCCTCCCTGTTCTCCTTGTTGGCCTCCATCTTCTGCTCCAGCTTCTCCTTGGCGTGCTTGATGAAGTTATTGTTCTCCTCAAAGGCCTTCTGTATCACCTCACGCTCGTGCTCCCTCTTCTCCGCCAGGTGCTTCAGTAGCTCGGCCTCCTGGCACTAGATGGCGAAAGAGACCAGCAAAGTTTGATCAGCGGACAATATTCACCCTTGTTAAACGGCAAATGAGATCACTATTAACAGCGGGTTGTGTTTAGGGTTATAAGGTTGTAGTTGTTACGTCTTTGAGTGGATTTGCGGAAGACACCTGTCACACCTCAGAAAATGTGTTGCATAGATTAAAATACAAGTGAAACATATGTAAGCACCTAAAAGAAACCCAGTGCTCCTTCTCTGAAAGGCAGAGGGGATAAAGTGTGTAAAGTTATGTGTTTGTTTACTTGTCTCTTGGGCGTGTGCCATTTGTATGTTTTACAGTAGATGTGACCACCGCCTCAGGAAATAGTAAGTCATTTATATTACTGCTGACTGATCATAGGCACGATAGTATGATTTCAAGCCCCTAAAAAAACAGTGGCTTCAAGTATGTCATGAATGAAAAAACACAATCAAAGTTTAAGAAGTTTAAGAAACGTGCTTTCTCGCAACGTGAGAAACTACTGAGTCGAGATTAGCTAAACATATAGTTGTGCCAAGAAAATGCAATAAATATGAATTATGAATTAACTATCATCCTAATTCATGTTTCTAACCAGCTATGTTATGTGAATTATGAAGTATAAAATTCAAAACCGGAGTGGTGATGGCAAATTTCAAAAGAAAGATCTTAGATTCTATCATTTAAATAATTCTGAATATTAATAACCCAGGCTTTCAGACTGAGATTTGAGGCACATAAGATACATGAATATTCACTGCCAGTGTGTTAAATAGTGAAATGATGCTGGTGACAGTTACTACTGATGGATAGTAGCTTGAGTGGGAGGCTACTACAGTCATATGGTACAGCAGCATCAGTGACTGTTGTCTCCAACAAAATCTCAGCCTGGCCTCAATGAAACAGTTGACTATTATTAGGTTGGTTATATACAGAAAATGCTTAGCCCAATCTGGTAATTTGATCAAATATGTATACGTCTGGATAAGCAATGTCTGGCCACCGTGCTGGGTCTACCCACTTGGAAGGGTAAAGACGGGCATGACGATCAATCAACCTTATTTTATCAAGGTATAGCAAACACCCAGGTTCAGGCAAGGCCACAAAATCATTATTAGACATGTCCACTAAATGAAAGTTTGTTTAATATGAAAGGAATGTATAGAAACCAGTCAAAATTGTAATCCAAACACACAAATTGTATCAAAATCCATAGAATCTTTGGTTTTCTCCTAAAAAGAGGAGTGGTCTTGAGGTTTCGCGAGGTACCAGTATGTGATGGCCTGGTCTATTAGCACCATGACTGCATTTTATCAGATTGATTGACAGTAGCTAAACTACCCGCCAACAAGTCATCAGAATCAACTTTTTCAAGCTAAGCCCATTTCCAACTAGCGAAAATAAAAACAAAACAGAAATCTCTAATGTGAAAGAAATAAAAGACTTTTGACTTTGGCAGAAAATAGTGTTTTCATGTAGAACTCTTTTACTTATAGTGAGAAGAGACTGTGAAAATAAGTTGCCAGGGCCTTTAACACACTGAATAAACGATTATTAATGGAAACATCTGATGTTGCAGATGTCTTGTGACCGTTCTGTTGCAGGACAGTTTCTCTGTGGCAGCTATTATTTCTCTCCTCTCACCTTTCCCCTCTCCCTTCCTCCCCCTCTCCCCACCATCCCCTTTGCTTGATGAATATGAGCCATTGTGAGTGCGTCCTTGCATGATTGCCCTTGTGCTTTCATGTCCCTTTTTTCATCCCCTCCGCTCCCTCTGCTTGTGTTTCCTCCCGTCCTTTCCATCAACTCCAACTCCCTCTTTCCTTTCATCCATTTCCACCCTTTTTCTCCCAAGTTGATAAATCATGCTGTCCACAAAGAGCGCTGTCAGATGTTTGACAATGCCTGAATGGACTACAAATAGCCAGAGTTAGGGTTATAGTTTAGGGTTAGGGCATGTCCAGTTTGTTTTTTTGTGTTAATACGAAATACCCAACCCTGCCCCTTCTTCCCCTCACCTTCCGCCTCTCCTCGGCAGCCTCCAGTTTCTTCTGGATCTCCTCCAGGGACGGGTCGCGGCGCTGCGGCATGGAGGTGTTGAGGTCTGGCACGCCGTCAAAGGACGGGGGCTTAAGGATGACCTCGAAGGCCTGGCCTGATGCCCGCTTGTTCAGCTCGATCACCTCCACGTCTTTGATGACGCACCAGCCCAGGTCCACCGCATCTGTGGTGTTGGATTGTGGCCATGTTTAGATTATTTATTTACAAAGAAGTTTTAATACAGGAAGATTACACATCATCATCAATATTCAATTATAGTCCTTTTACGTGTCTTTGCTTTAGTTCCTACATTTCCCAGAATGACTAGTGCCTATTCTGGCTATAATATGCCCCTATATGATTATTAACATGTGTGAAAGCGGTTTATTTTTACCTTCTGCCTTGTATGTAGGTTTTTCTGCAGTCTGTGGGTTCAGGCAGGCACAGAATAGAGACACCAGGGGGAGCTCTTTGACCTTCTCTTTGTAGGCTGAGGACACACACACATACACACACACACACACAAACACAGGCTTGTTCTGTTATGCTTGACATTGTGTTGACTCAAACTAAATGATGAAAAAGCATTTAAGGGCTAATGATGTAATTCTCCTTTTCAGTGGCAGTGACTAGTCTTTCTCATTATGTAATTATACCAGTCATAATAATGATAAGATATGTTCTTCAGATAATAAGAATGCGCTTGTTCCCACAATGTAATCATAAGCAGTGTACAGTATCGGAAAGGGGAGCTGTGAGGTGTGCGACTTTCTGCTGTGGCTGCATTTACCTGCCAGAGTCATCTTCTCACTGTGTATGTAACTCTCCAGGGATGCTGAAGATCCTTCTCAGTCTGTCAGGGAGAGACATGCAGAGACAGAGACAGAGACGGAGGGGAAGGACTGAATGAAGCAGCTTCAAAGGTCATATAATGAATTTGAGAAGCGGTGGCTAAGGAGAAAATGAAATAGACCACAGGCTGCAGAGTCCTTGCTCTAAGCACCTCCCACTAAGGTTTAATTCGACCAATGAGAGAACAGTTCTGCTTCAAAGACTTCATGTGGGCCAGAACAGAGGGTAATTCTTGCCAAGGATAGTTTGTCACTTTGAATACCTCGACAGGCTGGGGAAATCAATCCAATGACGTAAAAATGAAATGAAAAGATATCATCGCACATAACTAAAAAACGTTATATTACTTTGTAAAATTACATCTTTTCATTTTCCCTCATTAAAAAATCCAGAATCTATGAAAATAGATTCATATATATTGTTCATTTCAAAACTACTACACTCAAAATATGTCTCCTACTTAATAGCCACATTTTATTACAAATTTAGTGAAACATTTTACAGTGTTTTACAGAAAATTGAAAAATACTGCTGTGATGTGAATAGTAGGAGTTGGGCACATCAAGACAAACAGTTGGTGGTGCTAATTTTTTAATTGCGCCCAGTCAGGTGCAATTAAACCACTGCAGAAGAAGATGGCTCTACGAGATGAAGCAAACGAGAACCAATCAAACCTCAAACAAAACTTGATTTTATCAATACAACATCTCAGCCAAACGTTTTTGGCCATATTTGGACTTTTTTGCAATTAGTTGTGTTTCCTCTTTGGTTTTTTGATTTGCAAATGAAAAAAACACAGATAGATTGAATAGCACATACTATTTACAGTGAGAGACCTCCCCAATTTACCAGATGGAACAGCCTTCTACTGTCAAACTCCAAACATGCTTCATTTTACATGGCGTAGCTCAAACATCCATGTGAAGGGGAATAAACAAAACACATTTAGAGCGGAGGGGGACTTTAAAATATTTGTTTCTTTTCTTCCCGGCCCTCTGTGTTGCAGTGAATCACAGCTGTGACACAAGTGGGAGAAGCAGCTGTAAATCTTTGAGAGGATGCAAGAAAGGCAGAGGAAGGTATAAATAAGAAGGCGAGGCATCGACCATGACACCAGCTTGTTTCACCACCTGCTGAAAATGCACTTCAAACCTTGAAGCAGTGCTGTACAGCAATATGCGCTGTAATTGAAGCAAATATGTCTCTGTGATATTGACTGTGGGCTGCTAATGATATCAAATAATATTCATTAATGTTTGACTGAAATTCGAGAATAATATAATTAATTTCAGATTGAATTCAAACAGTGATTGAATCAAACTGAAGAGAGGCAGCAAAGTAGTGAACCATCTCACCAGACCGTCCACCACCTGCTATCACTCTGTCTGTCTGTCTCTCTGTCTGTCTGTCGCCTGTCTGTCAGATGATGTCATCAACACTGAATTGATGAACATCTGAGAGATGCTGTACATCGGTCACTCTAGATTTTCGAACCTAGTGAAATGATTATAGTGAGAAGGAGCCATGATAGTTTTCCTTATCCACAGTCTCCTATTTCTATTCAGTTCAACGAGTCAGACTTGAACCATTATCGCAAGTTAACAAAAGATGGACAGAACTTTCTGCATCACTGCGGCTCAGACTTAATTATAACAACAAATAGGCAAAGGTCTTGAACACCTGAATACATGTGGTCAGCTAATTGGAGACGTTCATCATGTGAGAATCCAGGAGTGTCCCGCACAGTTCGTTGACCTTTTCACAGCTGAGCACACACACTAATTAAGTTTTGCTCTAATTCTTGGATCCTGTATCATAAACGCTCTCATCATGTGGACACTCACAAGAATCAGGAGTTGAGGTAAACAGACTGATCAGTAATAAGAGAGCAAATGAAGGCTTGAACTTCATAAAACAGATTTACTTCTCAGTGCCAGTGGTGCCTGATGTGGGCCTAATTTAATCAAACATCTGTGATGGGATGTGTCTGCCAGAATGCCCAAACGTCCCACCTGTCCCTCCCCTTCATCTTCTAAGATAGGGTTCTCATCCAAACAGCATATGTGGCAGTCATGCAGGAATATATACTCGTAATCATTCTGCTCTTTGCACTGTTGGCCATATAGAAACTTAATGGGAAAAAAAAACTGCTCAAAGAAAGAAAATCTACAGTCAATGCATTTAAAGTTTCACAGCATTCATGTTACTGAAGGTCAGCATGCTAGTGGCATTATCACGACAGCTATAGGTTGCGGTACGGCTGGATCAAAGGCAACATTGGACATAATGCTAAATATACTCATGTAAGTATATAAATGCAGCTCATTCTCCCCTGGGAGTTTCTTGATTAGCAACTGTTTATTCATCATCCTGGCACTTCTGTGTAGAATCTCAGCTGGTTGCCTGGCAACCTTACGCTAACAGCAAGGCTTCAGGAAGTGACTGCTCCTGTTGTTCGGCAAGAAAATATTACAGTGCATTATTCTCCATAAAACCACAAATTGAACACAAAATTAAAAGCAAGATACAAAATAAAAGTGAGCTTTAGGTTGGTAGGTGTATTTCAGAGCTTTGGAAAGAGCCAGGCTAACTGCTTCCCCATGTTTCCTGGCTTTATGCTAGGCTAAGCTAATTGCGCTACTCCACATTGGAAGAAGTAGCTCACTACTGAAAACAGTGGATGCATTTTTTTAAGCATCACAACCTCTGTGAAATGACTTTCACAAGCAGAATTTGATCCAATTTGATAGCATTTGTCTAGTCCAGAAGAGCCGCACAATTAAATTATTTAATCCCTATTCAAGTTAGCAGATGGCTAAAATGGAAGTTATCAGCTCGGCCGGCGGAAGTGCTGTATGGGGCCCACAAATTCCGAAGCTCTAAACTTTTTGGGCGTGTGCAGCTTCCATAGAACAAATGGAGCCACGCCTTAAATTCTGTATCCAGTTCTCCCCTAATACTTGAATTCATGACCTGAAGGCTACTGGGACATTCTAAGTGTACTAATGAGACAACCTATGACATAGAGAGAAGGTGGAGGAGAGACATCTCATTACAGTGCGGAGCACACCTGACACGGTTCCCAGTGGGACACACACACACACAAGGTCACACACTTGTGCATATATAGACACATGCGACATACACACAGATACATTGAAATACACAGTTGTGCGCACACATACTAATCAGGCACTAAACTTTGCTACACGGTTGGAATCCACACAGGCACACACAAACACAGTTGCTTTTCATCTTAGGAAACCACCCAGGCTGCAGATCAATGCACTGCTTCCTGCAGAGTGCTCCATTTGTAGTGTCAATACTGAGAAAGAAAGGAGGAGCGAGAGCATGGCCTTGGTACACTCGAGGAACATTTGGGTCATGTTGATGGGATATTTGCCAGTTGTATCATAGTGGAAGTTTTTCTTAATACTATTTTATGATATTCATGTTTTTTTTGTCCCAGAAGATCACCATCATCCATGTTTGTTTTGTGGTCTCCAAAAATTGGGCTATTGCATAATAATATAATGGTTTTCAGAACAGGAAATAATGACATGAATTGGCCTTTTGAAAGATAAATAAAAAGCATATAGAATGATTTGTCTTATCTATAAATGTTGAATCTCAAAACAAAAATTGTGCATTTTGGGAAATATGTTTATCTGCTTTCCTGCAGAGAGTTAGAGAGAAGACTGATGCCACTTTCATGTGTTTGTGCTAATTATAAAGCTACATCAGGCAGTCGGTTAGCTTAGCTAAGCAGACTGGAAATAGGGGAAACACCTAGCATGGCTCTGTCTGAAGGTAACAAAATCAGCACCTCTCGGGCTCATTAATTCAGATGTTAAATCGAACTTGTTTAATCTGTACAAAAACCAAAGTGTAAAAATATCCATTTGCCTTTTTTTTTTTTTTTACAAATTACTTTAAAGGTCCAGTGTGTAATGTTTAACATAATCTGTTGACAGAAATAGAATATAATATTCATAGGTATGTTTTCATTAGTGAATACTCATTTGAAGAATCGTCATGCTTTTGTGACCTTAGAATGAGCTGTTTTTATTAACAAAGGGGTCCTCTTCTACGGAGCAGATACGGCCTTTCACATTTTTGGGAGTTTCTCAGCCACTGTAGTTTCTCCTACATGCTTGGAATGGGAGGGTGAGGCGAGGGCGTTGCCACTAAATCCTGCACACTGATCTTTTAAACAGACCGGATATAAGGCCTGTCTCTGTATTTATATTTGTATTTCTTAAAATTTGTTCATGGAGGGCATGAATTCTGGAAAACGATCCAGTTTTGGAAAGCTGACTTACTGTAACACTCAGTGCTTCATATTTCAAAATACACTGGTCAGTAAAATTCCTCACAGGGGAATAAATAAAACTTCAATTGTGTTCCATACTTAGTAGTTTTACTTTCTGCAGTGCCAGCAGTAATTTGGCTGATTGATATTGACAGATATCAAGTTTTCTGAATGTGGATGTCTCATTTTCATTTTTCCACATACAGTGCAGTGCACTGATACCTTCAGGGTTCTTCAGTGCTGAAGTCAAAATGAAAAATAAAACAAAACATTTTTCCCCCGTATTGACTCTGTTTCCATGGACACAGTATTTGATGTACTACTTATGTACATTTTCATATTCATTCATGCATATATAATAAACAGAATGATATTAATATTACATTTACAGGGATGCTGAACACGTCTAATGATGTTTACACACCTCTGACTGTTCTTACTCATATTCTGAGTGCAATATTTTGATTTCTTATTGGAGGAGCAGTTATAACGGCCTCCAAATTCACACCAAACTTTCCACAGCATACCTTGCACATCAAGATTTGTCAAATTTAGCGCATAACATCCATCTATATCTGACATTTTTATGAGCCATTTTGACTCACTTGGTTGGTTTTACAGATATTGCTTTTGCAAACTGTTGTTTTCCATCATTCTTTCCCTGATACCTGCACTTAAAAAGATACTATACACAGTACAGTAATAAACCTGGAACATGGTGCAGCTTATAAAGTGTGAAATTAACACGGAAGACAAGACATGTAACAGGTACAAATATCAGCCAGAAATAAGGACAAATAGGAACTTTTATAAACTATTTGTCACCATATTTTATTTTATTATTTACTTTTCTCTGTCATCCTTTCCCCCCGCACTGTCTAACACACACACTTTCACCTACACACACCTTTTTTCCAGATAAACACGAACAAACCCCCTCATTTTCCTCTCCCACTCTCTTTCTCTCCTTTCCAGTAGCAGACACAAAGCTGCATCTGCACATATGCAGGATCAATAATAAATGACACAGGTTACACACCATACATTTTGTGGGTACACCGAGTTCTCTCCCTCTTCCTTTTCCTCTCTCTCCTGTCAGCAGGACTGCATCATCACTATCCTCACCCTCACCCCATTACACCCTACCAATACACTCCCTCGCAAACACACACACACACACACACACACAGAGGCAACCTTCATTTATGCCACAAAACTTAACCTTGAGCAACCAAAGTGACACAAGTAAAATGCAGATGTGTGTAGCTGTGTGTTTTGCGATGCAGACTCACCCCCCTCTGTCCCAGTCTTCTCTACTGCTGATGGTGGACCGGTGACTACGGTTACCCCCGTCTGGCTTCACGGATACAGGCACCGGGCAACAGCATCAGCAACAGCATCAATGCTGCCTCCATGACATCACCTTGGAGACGTCTTATTGGTCTGAGACACTGCCAGCATCCAAGCTTCCCAGCCAATGAGAGGAGAGAGGAAGGATGGGGGAGGGCCGTCAGCTCTTTGTGTTGTACTGCAGGGTGGGTGGTAGGATCTCTGTTTTATTATATGGCGCAGGAGTGTGGGATTGTGTGTGTGCGTGTGTGTGTGTTTATTATGCATGGGGAGAGCTGAGTGAAGTAGTGTGAGAAATTGGTGGAGATTGGTAGTCTGCGTGTGTGTGTGTGTCTGTGTCTGTGTGCATCTCAGCAGGGGGCCCAGCTAGGAAGCACGCAGGACACTAAATTATTTAGATTCTTCTGTAAACTGTAAAAAAAAAAAAAACCAGAATAGGTATAAAACCTTTTGCAGTGTGAAGCACATGCAGTTCATTATGTTGAATATTTGTTATGATAAGACTACAAATACTGCTACCACTGTACTTTTACAGCTACTTTACAACTTACTACTTACTACTATTACTACCACTATTTAAAAGCCTCAGTTTATATTTATCACAAAAAAATTATTAGTGTTGCTATGGAATTAACATATACAGCTCAGGTTTAGATGTTGCCTATGTTAATAAGCTATCAGCTATGATAATAATAATGACTGTGATATATAGCTAAGGCCAATCATATTTCTCTTTCATATTATATAGTGTGTTGTTGTGTATATCCTGGGCTACATTTCATACTATTCCTGGAATATTACATACCCCTAGATTTGCTGTGTGATAATTTGATTGGATACAAATTCATTTAGGAATATGCACCATATGTACACATAAGATCAGCTACGTAATGACTGCATTTTGACACAGGGACTCACAGTCAGGTAATAAAGCAAGATCCACTTCAAGGCCCTTCTCGTGCCAGTTAATTTCATGCTTTGGTTTTTGCCTACACCTTAACATTCAAACAAAGTCACAATAATAAAACCACAAACCAGTTGCCGCATAGTGAACCTGAGGCTTTTATGGGTCCTGGAGGTTTCTCAGTTTCTCACTTTGGTAATCCACAGAAAAAAGAGTCATGAGTGGTTTGAGAAATCTGAATGAGTTCACACGTTATCTGACTTTCTGACAGGGGGTACAATGCTCTGGACGGTTTTGCTGAGCATGTGTTTTTGCTAGGTATTTAAAGCAGCTATAATTAATAATTCACAATAATACTTGCAACCCACAACTTTATTCTTTTGATTCACTCAGCTCTCATCAACTATCAAAAGTTTAAACACTCTGTACACTCCTCACACACAGGACTACAGTTAGCAGCTAGCTGGTGAACTGTGAAAAGTGAAGCTTTTAGCTGTTGAAGAGCTGGATGTTTTCCTCAGGAAAACAGAGCTGAAAGAGAGTGAATAATATGCTTATGCTTTCATTAGTGTATAATCACCTGAAAATAAGAGAGGTTGTGTGTTCAATGCCTTAGAATGAGCTGTTTTTATCTACAGTGAGAGCAGGTCCTATTCTATTGAGTCATTTGCTACAGTAGTCCAGAAGGGACAAACACAATCCTGGCTGTAGAACGCATTTTTTGCTAGTTTTGCGGCCATCATAGTTTCTCTTACACGCCTGGAAGTCGAGCTGCATTCAGTTGGTTGCAACCTGCAACTTCACCACTAGATGCCACTATGTACTACACGCTGCTCCTTTAATAGGCTTATTGTTGACATTAAAACCACATTTAAGAATATTCTGACACTACCTGACAAGTCTAAATGTCACTGAATCAACAGTGTTTTCATGTATCACAAGCTGCAGTAGGAAATATTATTAGTCAACCAGGAAAATGCTTCATTCCCCCCTTTCCTATGTCACCTGGGGCACCAACAATTTGGCAGTGTAGCAGCCAGACGGTCCCTATAGTGTAATGTAACCCTAATTCTGCATGCAGTAGAGGTGGACTGTGTGAATTTTGCCCCTGCCTCTTGGAGAGTCTGTACACACCCTGCTGTTGCAGTTTTTTTTTTGCAGTACTGAACGTGACTATTTCTGTCATTGCTGAAGCTGCTGCCATTAAATAGCTGCCACCAGTAATGAAAACTTAACTTTTTTAATCACAATCTTTTTCTAAATAATCATTAAATCATTAAAATAACGATATTAAACGACAAAATGGAAATAATAAAAAAAGAAATGGCTGGAGGATAGAGGACAAACAAAGCTAAGGTGACGTATCTGTTGTTGCCGCCCTTTGATCCTGTATTCAGCTCACACAACTAACATGATGTCACCGCGCTGTTCACAGGCACATGAGATGAAAGAGCTTACAACACTGGGGGAGAGAGAGGGATATGCATGAGGTCACATTAGGGTGTGTCCTGTTGTCGCTGTCTCCTCTCCTCTCCTCTCCTCTCCTCTCCTCTCCCCTCACCAGCCACCACTGACGGTAAATGTACGTGTGACATTATACATCACACACATCCTGGAAATGAGATCACCAGGGAGAGAGACAGAAAAAAAAAGAGAGGAAGAGTGAGAGGAGGAGGAGGAGGTGAGGAAATTAAGGAGGAGGAAATAAGATCAAACAGATTATTTCAGTGATTCTGGGAGAACAAAGTAAGAGGGAGGACTAGAGCAGAGGAAGAATAAGGAGGGAAGACCAAGTGAAGCAAGGGGAGCTTACTGGGAACACCCATGGGAGAAGTTGGGAGGAGAGGGTGGGTTCAAAAAATGCTCTGGGGATGGAGGATGAGGAATCGCACATTTCACAAAACATGAAAGTAGCTGAGTAGTGGGATGAGGAAGAAAAATGGACAAATCAGGTCTCTCTGTAGAGAAGGAATACATCTAAAATCTCTGCAGACCAACAACACTGAGGAAAGAAACTGATTTAGACACATGAACAAATGTAAGGAGAACAGATGCAGATAAAGCCTGTACAGCTCTTTAGCAGTCAAAAGCCATATCCTTAAAGCACTTAACTGCAAACACACACTTACACGTGCCCTCGCCACTCTCCCGCACTGCGAGCCCTCGTGGCCTATGAAAACATAAACAGTTACAGTAGCTTAGCGGCAGGCCTGATTTAAAGTCTGACATCATCTCTCAGTGTCTCAAGATGAGATCATCCCATCTAACTACAAGCCTTACTCACTCTACTCAAAGTGTGTGTGTGTGTGTGTGTGTAGTGTGTGTGGGTGTGTGTGTGTGTGTGCTGGCCCAAACCGGAATTCTCGTGAGACTAAGTATATTACTGAATGTGCGGGAGGGCGGACTCGGTGTGGTGCTCGTGCAAGGGACTGTTCCACTGCCAGGCCAAATTAGAATTACGGGTAAAACCCATACTCTTACAGGAAAGTGATCTGACAATTGAAGTTGAAGGGCTTAGACTTACTAGCAACTTAGATTTCAACTTGACAGCGGAGGGCTGGCTGGGTATCAAGGGGGAAACAAAAGCGGAGTGACGACCACCTTCTGCATTAAGGTGAAGTGTTTCAAATCCCATTATTTCCCGGCTTGACCATAGAAGAGTTTGGCTATAGGTATACTAGATTGGCTAGCTAGAGCCATTAAACATAACTGGGATGTTAAAGTGGTTCAGGGTCTGGATGGAGCACTCGTATAAAAAACGTGTGAAAGTTCCGTTGTGAGTTAATGCACATCACAGACCAAAGAACAATATGGGGAAGGTGCCATTATGAAATTTAGGGGCCACAATTAATAACAAAAAATTGTGAATGCTTATACATTACAGCCACAAGAAACATTCATAGGTTAATTCAGCATATTTAAATGACTGAGTACCCAGCAACTAAGTTTTTTGCTCATTGACTACCTCCATCGATTACTAGTGCAGGAACGTCATTTGGCAATGCAGGTTAACTCTTTGTCATGAAGAAAGGCAGCCTTGTCTAAGGAACGTCTCACAAGGTTACCAAGAATGGGAACAAGTGAAAAATACATGACGAAGAACACAGCCGAGAGGAGGAACATCCGGGACATGACAGGAAACAGTGTGAGTTGGCGTTTGACGTAAATGATCATATGGTGCAAACAGTCTTGAAGTCGCATGATGGGTTCTGTGGGCGTCTTGAAAAGCTTATACCTAATTCCAGATGCAGCGAAGTAGAAACATGAGTTATGGGGATATATACATATTGGTCATCATGTAAACAAATGACTACACCAGATAATAATACAGGCAGCTGGATACTCAACAGGTAAGCGTATAGGTGGATGGTCGTAAGATATGTCGATACCCAAAAATGTGCGAGTGGAGTTCTCTGGAGCAAGAGAAATAAATCAATTTCAGTATCATGGAGTGTCATTTATCCCAGAAAACAGTATGAAGAGGGTGTGAACTTGAGGTCAGGAACTTAGGTACAGACGTTGATGACTCAGTATGACTTGCGGAGACAGTAGTAACATGAAAAAAAGCAAGCGGT